TGGGGGGGCGGGGGTGTCACCCCTCTGGGTCCCTCTCCAGCCCTGGAGAGCAAGAGGGGGCTAAGAAAGCTGCAGCCCCACTCTGGGCAATGGAGGGCTCCAGGCAGTTCAAGGGATCCTCCTGGAGCTGGGGGGAAACCTTGCTCGGAATGGGGACTGCGGCCAAGAAATCAGAAGAAGGCGAGGAATGGGAAGGGCAGCTAGGAAAGAGCTAGGCAAGATCCTAAAGAGTCAAGGCACACAACTGAACCCTAAAGTTGGAACCCTCCAAGCCACAGTATTCCCTCCCCATCGCCAGGTAAGAAGGGTGCAAGGGCTGGGCAGGAAAGAAAGTGGATGAGAGGAAAAGCAATTCTTAGAGGAGATGTGTGGGGCTGGAGAAGTGTGCTGAGGACACTGTGGACAGCCAAAACAACAACAACAAATCAATCAAGCTTGAAATCTCCCTGGAAGCCAAGATGATCCAACCGAGGCTGTCCTACTTTGGCCACATCATGAGAAGGCAGGGACCAGGAGAAAAGGCCATAATAATGCCGGGGAAGCTAGAAGGGAGTAGAAAGAGAGGAAGACTACATGCCAGACGGATAGACTACTCAAAGGAGGAGGATCACAGGCGGAGCAGTGGAGGACAAGGGTCTGGAAATGCCTCATCCATAGGGTCACAAGGAGCCAGGGTCCACTCCAGGGCAGTCCACAAGAACAACCCACTCTGAGCCTGAGGAGGACCTACCGTTTCCATGCATCCTTTCCCATCCCCATAGTTGACCCTCAGGGTACACAAAACTCACCCCCCACCCACCCCAAAACATTCCTGAGTCTCGGTTTACTTTGGAGAAGGAGTGAATTGTGGGTCAGTGTTGTGTTGCTCTTTGCTTTCATTCCTGTCAATGGGTTGCTCCCAGCTCAGGGCAAAAGGAGGCAAGGAGCAGCACTTAAAATAGGTCCTGGGGTAGCAATAGCAATAGCAGCTTCATTTATGTACGGCTTCATAGCACGCTACGCAGTTTGCAATATGTAATTCAATTGCCCCCAACAAGCTGGGTACTCATTTTAGCAACCTCTGAAGGATGCAAGCCTAAGCTGAGCTTGAGCCCTTGGCTGGTATTGAACTCACAACCTTGTGGTTTGTGAGTGGCTGCAGTACCAGCGTTTCACCACTGCGCCACCAGCGTTGGCCAGGTAGCAAAGTACAACAACATCCAAAATCCACAAGAGAATGATACCTTGATTGGGACAACCCAAATGCACAGAATGCATGGTGCAAGCCGAAGCAAGAGGCAACCAAAAACTCCCCCAAATTCATCCAGTTTTTGCGATCTGCAGTTCAATTGCCAGGTGCCTTCTGTTCTGTTCGGATTTCTCACATCATTTATATAGAGGAGGTTTGCTATTGCCTTTCTCTGAGGGCGAGAGAGTGTGACTTGCCCAAGGCCACCCAATGGGCTTCCGGGGCTGAGCAGGATTCAAACCCCGGTCTCCAGAAGTCCTGGTTCAACATTCAAACTATACACTGGCTCTCTTAGAAAGCCTCTGGTCAGGGTTGCAGATAGCTATCCGCTTGCAACTAGCAAGGAATCCTGGGAAGGAAGAGGTCCTATATACCTTTATCTGTTATATAGGACTTTTCCTGCATCTGGCTTTCCTTCTTGCAAAGTTATTGTGGAAAGACTTCCGATGGTGCGCTTCCCTTTTGCCTTTTCTTTTTAAGAAACTAATTACTTAAAATTATTTGCAAGGTCAGTAATTTCAAGTAATTCTGGACTTTCCTTCCTTCCAGAAAAATATGCCTCCCTCTTTGTGTTCGAGCAAAATATTCAGATCAAGCCAGGCTGGAAGGGAAAATGGGAGGAATGATCTCCCCCTCGGAATGGACTCAGAATGAGGACAAATGGATCCCAGCGATGTTCAGCCCTGCTGTGGCTTTCCCTCTGCCTTCCCTCTAGGAATCGCCAAGTTGTAGTTCGTTATTCGCGAACTACTTTAGTAATTATTGGAGGTTAAAGGACAGCGCAGTATGGCGAGTGGCTTCAATGGTTCTTATAAATCCCGCTCAGCCACCGAAAGCATGGCTTTAGGATGGGCTCCCAGACCATTGGCACAAGTGCGAGCCTTAAAGCCGTGGGCCCTCGGGCGGAGGGGGCACCCAGAGGGCATCTGGCGCACCCGCGGAGGGGCTCCGAAAGGCCTTGCGCCGCTCCGAAAGCGCTGCCTCCGGCCGAAGCGCTTGCAGGATCGAGGCCGCGGGGGCTTAAGGAGGAAGAGGAGGAGGAAGAGGAGGAGGAGGGCCAGGGCAACGGGGCCAGAGCCTTTTTCCCCACTAGAAAAGGGTTCCGTTCGTTAGAAGGCTGGTCGTTAGTTATTAACTACCTGGATCAGAAGGGAAGGAAAGTGTCCGGCTGTTGGGAAGGGAAAGGAAGGGAA